AATAATAATATAGTCTGCCATCAAGTCAGTTCTGACTTATGGTGGCCCTTTTCATGGTTTTCCAAGTAGAGAATACTCAGAAATGATTTACCATGCCCTTCTTTTGAGGGCATCCGGAGACTGTGCAGCTTGCCCAAGGCCACACAGGCTGGCTCTTCTTCCTAGAGGCACAGTGGGGAATCAAAGTCAGATTCCTAAATCACTGACCTACCCAGCCGGCAGTGCCCTCTACATCTGGAAATAATAGCCTTTGAACTGCAGAGTTGAAGCTTTACTACTAAGTCAGATGGGTTGAAGAGGGGCATTTGGGCAAGCTGAAAAGATAATGGACAGTTTTTCAAAACTGATGCACTATTGGGGTTTAGTTACTTACATTATCTTGTGTTCGAAAACCATGAATGTTATATTAGTATAGATTATTATATCCTTTAAGAACATGTAGTAGTTAAAAATTTAGGCAAACACTTAATATGCATATAATGTCTCTTCATCCTATCTTTGTCAGAGGAAAACCGAAATTATATAGTGTTATGATGTGGAGACAATGATGCCAAAGTGACACTTTAAGCCATGAACCTAGTCATTCTAATCTAAACGTTCCACCACAATATAAAGGCCTAAATCCAGTTGTTAGTTCAAACTAGAGTAGATCCTTTGCTTCAGTGGGATTTAGCAGCCAACAGTTGATTCAGTGGGGCTAGTTTAGTTTGGAGTAACAACTGGATTTAGGGCAAAAATAGCAAACTAATTCCTTTTGTAGCAGAGAGCTTTACACTAGAGCTACACCAGATAATGGATAGTTCTCCAGATGTTGTTGGTATCCAGCTGCCATAAGTCAGCACTGATTGCATTCAAGAGTTATAGTCTAACAAGATCTATAGCTGTAAGAGAAAGACACTGAGCAGGATTCCAGGATGTGAAGGGAAAAACATACGATAGGATTTCAGCTTCTCTGTTGGCTGTAGCAAGAATAACTTAATTTCTGATAGAAAAGCACGAATTCCACCTTATTATTTTGGAAGAGATTACCAGAGAATTTCTTATCACTTCCCTTCCTGAACACTATTTATTGTATTCCTTAACAGTTATCAAGTTCTTGTTTTTCTAATAAACAGGGTTTTTCTCCTAGGTGGAAGAAAGCCTGTCATGAAGGAGGGTATCGTGCTGAAATGACTTACTGCAGACAAAATTTCCTCAACAGAACTTCATTATTAACACTAGAGGTACCAGCAACAATTTTTTTGAAAGGAAAGAAACAATTCAGAGTATCTGCTTTGGACATGGAAAACCAAAACTAAACAAAGCAAAAACACAGCTTTTTTTCACTTCTCTTGCTGATGGGAAGAACCAAGTGGGAACAACTAAGCACTTGTTCGTAGTAAACCAGATTTTTTTGAAGATCTAGTTCATCATGATGTTGAAACATGGCCTTAATAATTGATATCCAGTCCACTGTGATGGACAATTTCTAGAGCTTGGGAGCCATACATACTTTGCCTGTCCCCTGCAACCCCCCAAAACCTTTCCTTACTTTTTAAAAAACTGTAAAAGCCCTCTCATAGTATCTAGTAGCCTCAGGGAACAATTTCACAGTTTTTTGGCTGCTCCTGAGATGTTCTAATCCACATCACTTTTTGGGGGGGGGGGAAGGGAACCCATATCTACTAAAACAGCTTTAACTTAGAGACATGGTGAAATTGCCCCCACTTCCCCTGGAGACTGCAGGGTAGTTCTGAGCTCCAAACAAAACAGAAAATTTGAGTGCTGTCCTCTAAAGATGCCGGCCACAGAGACTGGGGAAATGTTAGGAAGAACAATCTTCAGAACATGGCCAAGGAGCCCGAAAAACCCACAACAACCAAAACAGAAAGTAAAGATTTAAAATAATTTTTTAAAAATTGTTTTCAAAATGAGGAATGGGAATGGTATGAAGCCAGAGGTTTCATTTCCCCCAGCTCTGCATTTTATTTATAGTGCATATATTGTGTGTATGTATATAGTGTATATATTCTGTATACTTTAAACCAGGAGATTAAAAGTTGAATGCAATTTAGAGTTAAAAATGACCACGAACTATGGTGGTGAGATTAAAATCAAATGCCATGGTTTCTGATGAGCTCTTTATTAGAACATGAAATAAGATGTGCTCAATGCATCACCTTTATACAAATGTGTGAGTAGGTTAGTATCTTGATCTTGATGTCAAGTGTAGTTTTCTGGATAAACTAAAAAAGTTGCAGATGCTTCTGTTTCTAATGTAGAAATAGAATTAGTGGGTTTTCTTTAAATTTAGTGTTGAATACTGAATGAGTTATTAAAATATGACTACTTAAATCTATTTTAGGATGTAAAAAAAGAGTTAATCAGGGTGGTGCGGGCAGCAGGATTTGCAGCACCCTTGCGTCATCATGAAGGAACACACTCCCTTTCACAACAAGAAATGGTCCTCCTTAAAGCTGTGCTGACTGCAGGATTGTATGACAATGTGGGGAAGATAATGTACACCAAGTCTGTGGATATAACAGAAAAGTTGGCCTGTGTAGCAGAGACTGCTCAAGGTAAAGCCCAGGTGCACCCTTCTTCTGTGAACAGGGATCTGCAGACCCATGGGTGGTTGCTATATCAAGAAAAGGTAAGATCTGCTGCACCTTACCAAATGGAGGGAATGTTATACATATCTTAAGTTGAATTTCTTCTTCTGTGGTGTACTGGTTTTCATGTAAGGCTTGCATAACTTAGTGTTGCTAATTGTAACTAATTGACGGGGTGCTGGGGCACATTTGTGCTTATTTGCCCAGTTGTACAACCAAGATGGGCTCTGGCATCTTGTCGATTAGCTGCAATTAGCCATATCACGATACACAGCCTTAACCCAAACACTAGTAAGATTCTGGCCATTAAAACAGGTTACCAGCTTGGTTGAAATGAGTACCTCCTGTGGCATCTTAATATGTTTAGCATAGTGTAATCTAATACTTCTGTTTCTAATGTCACTGTTATTAAAGGGGACAAACCAGTAATTTTCTTAAAATTACTTTAATTACTTAATTAGTACAGAGAGAATACTTTACAAGAATGTGTTCTGTATATGGATGCTACTTCATATATTGTACAATTCAATATGCAATCTTTTGCTCAAGGACTCTTATTTCAGAATAATAAAAAGTGGTTAAGGGCAAATGTGCAGTAGTTACTGGGAACAAAAATATGATATATCTGTTTAAAAATGGTATTGGATAATGCAATTTTTTTCATACTTTTATACAGGTTAGATATGCCAAGGTGTACTTGAAAGAGACTACTTTAATTTCCCCTTTTCCAATTTTACTATTTGGTGGTGATATAGAGGTTTTACATCGTGAACGCCTTTTGTCTGTTGATGGCTGGATCCATTTTCAGGTATATGTATATTCCAGTAGCTCCTTACAGCTACGTAATTATTGTGTTGGCAAGCATTTGTTATACATCACATCCTTTATGTTTGATACAGTGTCAGTGTTCTTTAGTGGACATGCTTAATCATTATAGAAATGTAATTATTAATTATGCCTACTAAATAATAGTAATAATAGTTGTTGTTGTCATATGCACCATCAATTCTGACTTATGGTGACCCTTTCCAGGATTTGCTAGGGTAGAGAGTACTCAGAAGTGGTTTACCATTCCCTTCTTCCCTGGAAATGTGCAGCGTGCCTAAGGCCATATAGGTTGGCTTTTCTGGGATGCACAATGGGGAACTGAACTCCCAACCTTTGGTTCTGCAGTCAGATAGATACCTAACTCACTGACATATCCAGCCAGCTACAGTGGTGCCTCGCATAACGAGCGCACCATTTAATGACGAATTCGCATAGCGATCTATTTTTTTAGATCGCTAATGCGACCGCATTGCGATGGTTAGATAGGGCGAAAATCGCATTGCGATGATCGGTAAGCGTTTTGCTTACCGATCTTCGCATTGCGATGTTCCTAGAACAGCTGATTGGCGGTTCCAAAATGGCTGCCGCAAGTGTTTTCGCACCCTGCCCTCGCTTACCGAGGGCACGAAAATGGCGGCGCTATGGAGGAACTTCGCTCAATGGTGAGTTTGGGCCCATAGGAACGCATTAAACCAAGTTTAATGCATTCCTATGGGTATTTTTGATCCGTTTAGCAATGTTTCCTCATAACGACGATTAATCCGGAACGGATTAACATCGCTATGCGGGGCACCACTGTACTTACTAAATATGCATGATTATTAATAGTACTTACGAATATAGAATACTGTTGCAATATTCTTTTAATTAAACTGCACAAGAGATGACATGGAAATAAAATCCCCACTTTAATGGGCTGATTCAATTATTTTCTTTGTGTTAAAAACACCACAATGCAATTAATAAATGGCTGAAATCCAGTAGTAAGTTGCAACTAATGTAGGCCTACTGAATCAATAGGGATTTGATGAGTTAGCTTTCTGTACATTCCATTGCTTAATGGGCCTACTGTAATTATACGGGTTTACTACAGGATTACTACTACAGATAATTTTGCCCAATGATGGGAAACATTAACATAATACATGTTAAGGGGGACAGAGTACACTGCCATAAGTATGAAGTTGCCTGTTCTTCTCTGCATTTGCAGAGGACTGATTTAGATGTAGTGGTTCCAATCCGACATACAGTGGTTTTTAGGAGTAAAAATGAGTGACCAGTTAAAAGTTCATTCTATATTCCTCCATCCAACTTGAGATAAGTCTTCCTTGTTTGCTCAATTACAGATTTACATAATATCTGAATTGCTAAAGTGTCATTTGCGTGCTTCGTATTATTGCGGTTTACAAATTGCTTTATAGTATAGGAAATAATGACTTAACAAACCAATAAATCTACACTTAAACTGGTAGTGCAGGAGGAGGACAAAGAGAACTTGAGTTTGTTCCCAGTGTGATAAGTGTGTTTTCTATGGAGTGGCAGGACCACATTTTAACTGGACCAGTGGGTCACAGAATTTAAATCATTTGTTGTTCTCAAAAAAACTGATATGTTCATAACAAATAGACCTGATGAGAGAAATTTACAACTTAATATTCTTGTTTCCACAGGCCCCTGTAAAAATTGCAGTCATTTTCAAGCAACTGAGAGCACTCATTGAATCTGTTTTAAAAGAGAAACTCGAAAACCCTAAAATGTCACTTGAAGGTAAATTTTGTTTCTAGCATTGCCTTGAAATTTCAAACCATGTAAAATATGTGGAATAGCTAAAAGCTGGCCTCCTTGTCAAACAGTCCTTCTGTTGTTGGTGAAAATAATAGCACTCGCCTGAGAAATACAGATGGTCACATTTTCACAGCTTTGTTCAGCCTACATTACATTGATGGATTTAACTGATCGTTTACTTTGACATCTCTTTTAATATAGCAAATAGTTTGCTATCCATTCTTCATAATATCTAGCTTTTTATGTAATCTCGTCACAAAGGTTTCTCCATTTGTTCTGATAAAATGAATATACACTTGCAGAGGACTTTATACTTAAATTAGGTCAATCTGTTGATACAAATACTGGCAAAAATCCTCTTGCATAGCTACACAAAAGGTGTGATTTCTGGAAGCAAATTGTCCCAAGTTTAGAGGCAACCATAGACATTATTAATTGCATGCAGAGTCATACAACTCAATATCCAATTTGACAGTGTTTATGGTGATTTCTTAACCTGGGGTAGTTCACCTCCAAACTAACATCATTTTTGCTATGTCATCGTAAATAGATTTCGGCCACTGTATACTTATATTCCCAATAAATGCATATAGTTAAAGCCACCATAGTCTTGCGGGTGGGAAAGGTGCTTCTCTCCTAGAGAGAATTCTGATCCTGTGGAGGAGTCTTGCTAGTTGTGGGAGAGGTAACATTTCATGGATTCTGTGTCCCGTTCTGGTCCATTATGTGTTCAGCTGAAAATCTGCTATAGGGACTTGAGATACTTTTTGGAACAAATGAAAGGGACCGAAAAGGCAACTAAAGAGGAAGAGGAAAATTGGCCCACAAACACACTCCTTCTTTTCCCATCCTTCTGCTGCAGAGAGCATAATGACTAGGACTACATTTAAAATAAACTGTTCTGACAGTTATTTGGCTTACCATTTTCCTCTGTTTTTCAGATGATAAGATTTTGAACATCATTAAAGAATTGATAAAGACTGAAAACACTGTCTGAAATAAAAGAATGATTTCAAGTATGAAGCCACACCAACTTAAAGAAGAAAAGTATAGTTAAATAAAGTACAGGCTTGTTCTTTAAAATGCCAGCTATCATGTGGAAGCTGCTTGATCTTGGTGTGTAACTTCCCTTTCCATATCATTTTGTGAAGAATAGGAATGCATTGTAAAATTGATAATAAAATTTGGGTTCCTCTTGTTCAAATGTTTTTAATGACTGCAATCGACAAATACAAAGAGGACAAGTTTCTGCTTGCCTTCTTTGTATAACAACTTCATACATTCCAGAGCAGAATTTGGATATTTGAAATAGGTTTTATTTCCTAGAAGATGCAACTGAGAAACAGGGTGGGTTGGTTTACTTGCCAAAATGTGGTGGTGACACAATTTTTCATGTTTATAGATGGCAACGTTAACAATAATTTTTGAAGAACTTTTTGTTCTTTGGTCATTACCCATATAAAGTGCTTCAGAGAAGTAAAGAAATAGATGTACAGTTCCATTCACTTGGACAATCTTTCTCTTTTGAATTTAAATTATGTGACAGAATTGAGTATGTGCCAAACCAAAAACAAACAAACAAACAAACAAAGGAGTTGAATATGTGCCAAACCAAAAAAAGCAAATTGTTAAAAAAAATTTAAAAGAATCAAACAGTATTACACATGAGAAAATTAAAACTGTTGTCTTCTTTGGAAAAAGAGATGAAGGGGAACAAAAAGATACAAAATTATGTAAGCTTAAATCTTATGGGAATTTTTGCTCACTCTGACTCCTTTTTGTTCAAGTTATATGTCTGTATTCTTGTACTGCATAGTTGGGGAGCCTGGGGAGTTCCAGATGTTGTTAGATAACAGCTCCTGTCAATCCTAGCATAGCGTAGCCAATAATGAGGGATGAGGGCAGCTGTATGTAGTTCAGCAACATCTGGTGGTCCCTGTATTGCCCCTCACTGGTCTACTGTACAAAACAGGACCCCTCCCCCTTTTGAATATATAGCTGTATGAACTGTGTTCAGTTATATATCAGCTTTGAAAACTCATCCAGCCAAATAAATGTCTTGCATGTAAAGGCTTTTTAAAATTATTGCCCTACTATTGTCAATATTATTAGGAGAGAAAACAACTAAATTAAAATAACTTACCATCATCACCAATACTGAACTATAGGAATATTCCAGATGAGTATTCTCCATAAAGCTGCATTTTCTTGCACGGTTGTGATGTGTTACATAGAAGTGATCGGGGCCTTGTGGACCAGCACAACTAGATCCAAAGGTCATATTTCTGTGTTAATTGTATTTTCTGGAGCCAAGTTCCCACTGGAACTCTTATTCAAAGATGAAAAACTGAACATGCAAAGCAAATACATGTTTAGAATTAAGTGTAAGTCCTTAATGGAAGAGCCCACTGGAACCCTTATTCAAAGATGAAAAACTGAATATGCAAAGCAAATACATGTTTAGAATTAATAAGTGTAAGTCCTTCATGCAGTTTTCCATGTCAGACTGAGAATTTTCTTTTGACTATAACTGCTGATAAACCTGACAGTTCAATTTATGACCTTTAATTACAGTAAAATACTTCTATGGCAAACACTGTAACATAAGCTTATGGAAAACAGTTGCATGATAGCAAATTTCACATGCTTTCCCTTTACCAGCTGAAGCTTTTGTCTGTTGCACTTTGATGAGATTTCATGCTCCTAGCCACATTTAAAATTCAGTTGCCCTTGCAATAACCAATAATGATAGCAAGATTTGAATTCAGTCATCACAGTTCAAATATTTTGATTTATATGATTCAACGACTGCCCACCAGTTATAGTATCTTTGTGAAGTGATTGGCAGTGGGGCTTATAGGTTCTAAATAAATTTGGACATTGGCATATAATTAGTCTTAATTTGAGAGTAGACCCGTTGGATCAATTGCTTAATGGTAGTTCAACACTTATGTAAAAGCCCACTGAATCAATTGCTGAAATCCTGCTTGCAGAGCTACATTGCAGAAAGCTGATAATGTCCATAGGGGCTTTTTTTAAGTAAATAATTTCCATACCTCCCCTTGGAAGTCCCTAGACTCCCATGAAATCATTTTGTTATGGGTAAGCCATTGGAAGACACAGAGGAAATCATTAATTTCTGAAAATTGCAACTGGCAATAAAATCATCCCAGCAGTGGCAGGTTTTGGAAATTAAAGGCTCATCCCTATGTCCCGCTGCCTCAACAGCTTCCCCGTGTTGAAAGGGATCCGCAGGAGCTTCAGCATGTTCAAGGGAAATCTGATTTTTTTTATTTCTAAAATGTCATCACAGCTGATGACATCAGCAGCAGCCTTATGTGGTATAAGTTGTAGAACTGGCTGCTACTACTCAGTTGTTCCCACCTGACAGGCCCTTTTTCACTAATATGTTTACCAAAACATTGAAAGTGAAGAGTCAAGATGTGAAGTGGCCTAGTAAATGGATCTAACTTCAGTGTCACAACTAAACTTTGCATTCATGCTTGAAATTACATGTACTGTATAGCACCTTTTACATTCATGACTGAAGAAAGTTAGGATACAAAATGTACTTATTGAAATATAAAATGGAAGTCAGAGAATAAACACATTGCATAGGCAACCTAAAATACTTTGCTGCCTAATGGATAAGGAAAGGTGGCATCACAACCCCGCATACAGTAGCCATGATAAGTGGAGCTTGAAGGCACTGTGTAGTTTAAGGTGCACAAGGCAGGCTGCATGTCATACAGAATTCAGTCCTCTAACCCAGTCTCTACTGGAAGCATCTGGTTTCCAGAATCAGCTGCCTAAAACAAGCATCTCGCCCTGTCTAATGATATAGAGTACAATGGTGCCTTGCTTAACGATTGCCTCGTACAACGAAAAATTCACTTAACGATGGCTTTTTTGGAGCAATCTTGCGCTTCACTTAACGATTTTCCCTATGGGCGATTTTCGCTTAACGATTTCGGGACCATGCTTCGCTTAACGATGACAGTTTTAGGTCCCCTTGTTTCGCTTAGTCACCACAGCTGATGACATCATAAGCAGCCTTATGTGGTATAAGTTGTAGAACTGGCTGCTACTACTCAGTTGTTCCCACCTGACAGGCCCTTTTTCACTAATATGTTTACCAAAACATTGAAAGTGAAGAGTCAAGATGTGAAGTGGCCTAGTAAATGGATCTAACTTCAGTGTCACAACTAAACTTTGCATTCATGCTTGAAATTACATGTACTGTATAGCACCTTTTACATTCATGACTGAAGAAAGTTAGGATACAAAATGTACTTATTGAAATATAAAATGGAAGTCAGAGAATAAACACATTGCATAGGCAACCTAAAATACTTTGCTGCCTAATGGATAAGGAAAGGTGGCATCACAACCCCGCATACAGTAGCCATGATAAGTGGAGCTTGAAGGCACTGTGTAGTTTAAGGTGCACAAGGCAGGCTGCATGTCATACAGAATTCAGTCCTCTAACCCAGTCTCTACTGGAAGCATCTGGTTTCCAGAATCAGCTGCCTAAAACAAGCATCTCGCCCTGTCTAATGGTATACAGTATACTGTAAAAGTATTCTGACCGTCTTCTTCACTAATCCAGCAGAGGGAGCAAACTGAATGAGCAAAATTAATATCCCTAGAGCTTGAGAGGAGGAACTGTTCATATACTAAATAAACCCCTTTTTTAATCCTTTCAGAAGGATTAAGAACCTGTATGGTTCAAAGGAGCATTTATTTCTTTGTAGGATGGGTAATTTTTCACAAGCATAGTGAAAAATTAAATACTTATCTATTCTACTTCTCTTTCTCCCACCCACCCCAATTTAACAGATAGCTACTAGTACCATTTTTCAGAGGATCTTAGCAGTTTTGCCAATAAAATAATGTGATAGAAACAGTAGCTAGCCAAATTCACCTATTTACCTCTGTATTAAAAAAATACTCAAGCTCAGTGCTGAGGGGGTGGGGGCATTGTTATAGCTACATTGGCTGGCCTGACATGATTAGAGTTCTACAGCAGAGTGTAATATTTTTGTGTACCAAGTAAATGGTGTGCACCTTAAAACATGGGTTTCTTGTAAAATTCAAACTGTTTCAATGTAATGATAACCTGGGTTTTGTAACAGAGTGTTGCACAGGATTCAAGAGATCTGGGTTTAAATGTCCACCTGGGCATGGAAACCCTCCAGTGGTGGGTGGGATGGCAATGGCAAATTACTCCTTAAGAAGCTTGCATATTTGAAAACCCTGTCAAGGTCACTGTAAATCAGAAGTGAGTAATATTACACCATAATCCACCCTATTATAATGTATTAACCACATGATGCTGTATAAATATATAAAACTATTTTGCCATTTTTTGGTTATACTCTAGAACGGCCACAGTGCACCTGGAGCAGCTGAGGCCCTACAGATGATGGACTACAACTCCCATCAGCCCTCATCACCATAAACCCAGTGGTGAGGGATTATAGGAATTGCAGTCCAACAACACCTAGAACATCACAGTCACTTGCCCGTCTGTGATCTCAAAGTAACAAAAGAAATAGAACCTGAGATGCAAAGTAACAAAAGAAATAGAACCTGAGATATCTGGAAAAAGACATGATTCTTAATTGGCTGAGAGCGAGTGAGTGAGAGAGAAAAAAAGCACTGTGCTTCTCTTAACTCGAATGCCAGTCTTTTGTATGAGGAAGGGCAAGGTAAACAGGAACAGAATCTATAATAAGACTGTGCAGTTAGGCTGTGTATAGGCCCCTTTAGGTTCGGATTCTGCATCACCAAATATGATCTAATATTGACCAAGAATCCCTGCTGATCGAGACCCAGATTCACAGTATATTTGGTTTCTGACTATCCAGAATATCCTAATTTGCTTGAATGGAGAAACATGTGGCTATAATCTCCGGGCAGTTTTATACAGTGTCACAAAACATAATGTAGTAAACCTCAAAGGGAGGATTCATTGTGCCAAACAGCAGATATGCAGTTTTCCAGATTCGGAGGCCACCCATCATCAAAGTGTACTTATCTTCTGCCACCGCCTCTTTTAAGATGCTGCTGTTTGCTTTTCAGTAAATTAATAGGCACCATTTCTATTAGAGGTTATATAGAGGGGGAAGATAGGAAGGAATGAACCAGAGTTCTGGAACATATTACATATCATACTTAGCTTCTTTGCTTGCCCCAGGAATAATTTGCTACTGCCCTAAATCACAAACAAAACCTGGATTACTGCTTTGGGACTGATCGCCTATAATGAGGGGGCATGTTTTAGAGCTCCATACAGTATTTGTTCTGGGCACAATACTGTAGCTATTTGCTAGAGCGATGGTAGCTGCAAAAGAACAGAAAGCAGGAGGTAGAAAACACTGTATCAAGCTGCTGCATTGACTCAGTTTAACCACTCACAGAAGAATGTGTGCACACAAACACACAACTCTTAATAGTAATCTATAAGGGGGGGAGCCATTGGAATCTGCAGCATCCACACAATTCTTACTGAGCAGAAGCCAAATGTGGAGAACTGTGGCATGCAAGGGAATGTAAACCCCAATGGATCTCAGTGTCTCTAAATCACTGCTGGTAAAGATGGCACTTTCCTTCTCAATTTTGGTTAGTTGGTGCCAGCCTTATATGGCCTTCCTTTCCCTTTCCTTTTCTTAGGATCTGTGAAGGAAAGAAGACAGTGTGCCATCCTCCATGGAGCAGATGATGAGGAGAGCCATGGTTGTGTGGAGGGCATATTGGTAGAAATAGAACAGGGGAAAGAGGAAGGGAAAGAGTCACTTGAGGTTTGCTTAGCTGATGAGAAAGGGGAGGAGCTGGATTTGGTTGTGTGGGAGGAGGGTATAAAAGGGGAAGAAAGAGCGTGGCGTTTTACAATTCTAATGGGCGAACAACCTCCCAGGAGAGACCAGGCAGCACAGACAGAGTGGAGCGCTGGACAAGAAGGATTTGCCACGCTTATGAAGGAGTTTCCAAACCTCCAGCTGGGAGGAGGCCTGCTGCCTGACCCAAAGGATGTGAGCGCAAAGCGAGAGGATTTAGAGCCACTAGAATGGACTGTGGTAGTGTACCCTTGCAACCAGTGTGGGGATAGGAGGGTAATCCGTCCCAGTCCCTCTTTACAGAGTGGAGCGCTGGACAAGAAGGATTTGCCACGCTTATGAAGGAGTTTCCAAACCTCCAGCTGGGAGGAGGCCTGCTGCCTGACCCAAAGGATGTGAGCGCAAAGCGAGAGGATTTAGAGCCACTAGAATGGACTGTGGTAGTGTACCCTTGCAACCAGTGTGGGGATAGGAGGGTAATCCGTCCCAGTCCCTCTTTACTCTAGCCAGTAGGAGGGTAATCTGTCCCAGTCCCTCTTTACTCTAGCCACAACGCGAGGGGGACTGGGTGAAACATCCATGTTGTGGGACAGTATGTGCCGTGAGGAGCACCCCACTGAGGCCCATGACCGATCAGGAGCAGTTTGGACCGGCCGCTCAGTAAGGAGTGATATAAAAACGCCGGATGTTAGAGTGAGAAGTTACCGCCTTTTGCCTGAGTTGAGTTTAATGGACCCTTTTGAACCTGTTGAATTGAGTTTGTTTAGTAATAAACCAAGTCATGTTAAAAATATGGAGCAGCCTCCGACTCTTCTTCCCGCACCAACACAAGGGTCGCACATGGCTGACAACGAACCCAATCACAGGATATTTTTTAAAAATTCAATATTGTAAACTCTCTAAATGCCAGATCATTTTGCACCAACACAAGGGTGGCACATTGTAAACTCTCTAAATGCCAGATCATTTTGGTGAGAATGAGAACAGTCCTAATGTGCGCCAGAACTGAGCTGAGGTTGCTTGCTTGGATTTGGGACACTAATGCTTTCCCTCTCTTGCTCTCTCTTTTGACTTGAAATAAAAGAGAATGCTCCTAATTTAGTCCATATTCAGTTGGTAAAACAATTCAAGATTAAATCTGGAAAAGGAACCAGGTTTGAAATTGAAAATGACTCTTTCTGTACTGTGTGCTAACTTTGGAATTCGATGATCATAGAGCAGTTTATTCCATGGCTCCTTCCCATGCCAGTGTTGCTCAGTACCTCCAATCACCATTGATGCTAGTAAATGAAGAAGCTATGTGTGACCTAATAATAAATTGCATGCCACCAAGTCTATCTTGATTTACAGCAACTTTTTCCAGAGTTTTCTAGGTAGAGAGTACTTAGAAGTGATTTACCATGCCCTTCTTCTGGGGTGTGTGTGTGTGTGTGTTTCCTGTGTGTGTTTCCCTGGAACTGTGTAGCTTGCCCAATGTTACAGAGGATGGCTGCTCTCCTGGGAGACACAGCAGGGAATCAAACTCCCAACTCCTGGCTCTGCAGCCTGATATTTAACTCACTGATCTATCCAAAATACCTTCACCCATCCCAAAATGACCTATTCCTGTGTAAACTTGGATTTACTACATTGCCACTTGGAAGACACTTTGATTGTAAGGATATGATATGACAGCCACATGGAACCTGTCTGAAAATATTTCTAAGTGACAGGAGAATTTATGTGTATGAGTGCCTCTATGCTGGGAAAGGGCTATATAAAGTATAGGGACACTTTCTGCAGGGCACACTTAAATCTTCTGTTGTCTACACGTTGCCACTATCTATTTATTATATTCCTGATCATTGTGTACAGATGTGAAGGCTAGACAGTAAAGAAAGCTGATGGAAAAAATATTTGTTTAAAATATGGTGCTGGAGGAGGACATTGCAGATACTCTGGACTGCCAGAAAGATGAATAAGTGGGTCTTAGATCAAATTAATACTGAACTCTCTCTGGAAGCAAAAATGACAAAATGGATGCTGTTGTACTTTGGGCACATGATAAGGAGCCAAGACTCATGGGAAAACAAAATAATGCTGGGAAAATATAAAAGCAGCAGGAAGAGAAAACCAAATATGAGACAGATGGATTTCATATAGGAGCCACACATTGAGTTTGCAAGAATTGAGCAGAACTGCTAATCACAAGACATTTTGGAGGTCATTCATAAGTTTACCATGTTGGAGGTGACTTTGACAGCATATAAAAAACTTTATTGTAGAATTTTGATGTCATTGTGTGGGAGGCATACTCAGAAACTGTTTCTAACAAGACTTGTCATTCAGTGGAAAAATATACTGGCTAATTAAATCTGCAGGCAAATAAAAGAAATCTGAACTGGAAGGCATACTTTGTTTTAGGGATATCTGTGTATAGCAGCAGGCATTTATCCTAGTCATAGATGAAGCATTGGCCTTTTAAGATGCGATTTGCCCCTTAAAGTTTTAATAAGTTATATTCAGTTTAAAAAAACTGGCTTGTTCCTTTAGTCCATCAAGGTGATCAATTAAAACAAAGAACAGACAAAATGCTTCAGCCCTACAGTTGTACAAGCAATCCAGATAACAAAAAGATGGTGACTTAAAGAAAAAAATATATGGAAACAAACAGCAAAATTTCTAATCGCCTTCGCAGTAGATGTGAAGCATAACTGGTCTTGAGTGTTGTAAAATTCTGGGTTTTAACAGTTCTGTGGGATAAAAAAAAATCCAGAGGGCAGTAATCTAATACTTCTGGGGGGGGACTTCGGGCCTGTAGGTGATAAAGCCAAGGGAAGATGGCGTCGTCTTTTTTCCAAGTCACAGTTCCCTCCCTCGCGCAGAGTGTAAGGGGACAGTGTTGTCTTTGACGAAATCCTACTCGCTTTGGGAAGCGGGCCTTTTTTCCTCAGGCCCGCTTCGTTTGGAAAAGCCAAACCACACAAAGTGGAAGGGAACGAGGACTTTTGAAGCCAAGCTTGTTCGCAGGGCTTTTTGTTTTTGTTTTGGAGAGGGGTTGTTTTTCCCCACATTTTTATTCTACGTTTTATTTCCAGCCTCCGACTTCGTAATTTGGGACGGGTTGCTTTGCAACGAAGCAAGGGGGAGCTCGATGGGAGGACCAAATAAATAACCCCAGAGCCACAAGGCGTGACTGGCTGGTGTGACTTTCGGGTAGAGTTGTTTCAGGGAAAGGCCTCCCTGACTCCGACAGGTCTTCTGAGGCATAGCCGAGCTTGCCAAGCCCGCTCCCGCTGCTGGGGGCCGAAAGGCTTTCCACCGGTTACGCAAGAAGACCGAGCCAAGCCATCACCCAGAGCGGTTCTTTCGCCGGGAAAGCCGGCGAAGAGGCGGGGAGGGGGGCTGAAGGGCGAGGAGAGGACGTCTCCCCCGGGCGGGACCAGAGGCGGAGCGAGGCGGCGCTTCCTCACTTATAGCCGGCTCGGTGTATCTCCTTTCAGGGCTGCCAGGGAGGCGGCGGACGGGGTAGGGAGGATGGTGGCGACTCAGCTCAGTCAGGAGCGCCCTGCGTACAGGCAAAGCCCGCCGTGCAAGCGGCATCGGGCCGACGACGTGACCCCAGAAGAGCGGCCTGAGTCCCCGGGCGACGTCGAGGGCGACCTCCAGCTTCGGGCCCCGGTCAAGAAAAGCAAGCCCCCGCTGGTGGGGTGGTTTCCCGGAGGGGTCGATCCCCCACGCCGCTGCGAGCCCATGCACCCTCTGGAGCGGCAGCTCTTTCGCGACTACGGGCAAAGCTGGTACCGCTTCCGAAAGGAGCTGGAGAGCAAGTTCCAGCCGCTTGATCCGCTGGCCCAGCAGCCACAAGTAAGGGGAGGGTGGGGAGGCTGAGGGTCAACACACACCCCGCAAGTAGTTTTGTTTGGCCCTCCTCCTGGAGCAGAAGAACGTAGATAAATCGTTGGCTCTTGCTCACGAAATGCTCAGAAAACAGGGAACAACTTTCGTGATCCTGTCGTATAGTTTAATCTGTCTTTCTCCATTTCCCTTCGAGACTCTTCAGTCGTTACATTGAAACGCGTGTAAAGGGAGAAAAGCGGCCCCTCTCTTTAAATAGGAAGGACCCCAGATCAAATATCCAGAATTACCTTGTAAAAGTAGGTGTGATTTGTGTATGGGTTGTGCCAAAGGTGTGAGCTAGAAGGTGCATCTCCATTCTCCCCTGAACCTCAACATAAACTTGTGAAGACTTATAGATCTGCTTAATTTTATTTTTCCCATTATCCTTTTTAACTCAATGGGGTGCACTTTGGGTAAGAAGAACCAAATTCCTGCATATAATCTTAATGTTTAATAATGACACATGGAGGCACACATGGTATTTTAAACGTTAGGAAGAAAAACCTTCAGAACAGGGCCAAACAGCCCGAAAAACCTACAACTATCTGACATTACTAAGCATCTGCATCTCCCACAAGCATTGGAAAAAAAATCTTGTTCCCTTTGAGAAATGTAGAGGCAAAGCTCATCGCATCTGTTTGGATTGTGTAATTACTTGGGATTCCTGCCACTTTCATGCATTGCACTCTGGATGAAAGTGAATGTATAATTTCTGTTTCACCTATATTAATGTACTTCCAAGGCAGCATTAATCAGGAGCTAATCAGGAAAGTGCCATCAATTTCCAAGTCCTTCATTGCATGCTGATATTTTGAAACTCATTTATCAAACTCCGTAATACATTCATAATATTTTGTAATAAAGTAAATGTTTGCCTTTGGATTTCACTATTACCTCTTTGACATCCTAACCCCCGTCCTCTCTTCTTGCTTCCCAGATAACTGCAGAGTCTAGGTGCAAACTGATTAGCTGGCTAATTCCAGTGCATAAACATTTTGGCTTCTCTTTTGAGTCCTTGTGCCTGACTGTGAACACACTAGACCGCTTCCTTACCACCACCCCAGTGGCTGCTGACTGCTTCCAACTCCTAGGAGTTACCTCACTCTTCATCTCTTGCAAACAGGTAACAGGACCTAGAGCACCTTCTTGTTTTCTAAATGCGTAATTTCCTGATAGAAAGAGTAAGGGACAAAGTCATTTTCAGCTCTGTTGATACAGAAAGGAAAACCTCTAAACCATGGTGATTAGGAGACTTCAAGAAAATACAAATGAATCTAATTTACTTTGCTGTGTATTGCTGATATTGGCACTGTTATGCTGGGTGATCTTTTGAGTCACCTGCCATCTGCTCTGAAATTTAAGCCACTATTTTCTTTTCCCCAGGAGGGCAAATTGTCCCCTTTCCTGCAGTTTTTCCACTGGCAGGCAAAAGCCTTTGACTATTGAATGACTGATGAATAGTTTTGTAATGGTGGATGTTTTACTTTTTTGATGTATTTCTAATTGTATTAATTCTGTGTTTTAATGCATTGTCATTTAATGATGTTTTAATGCTGTAATTTATTGTGTGGCTTTTAAAAACTTTTTAAAACTAGTCTGAATTCATATTGCGAGTGTCTTTGGAAGAAGGGTAATATAAATAAATATATAAATAAGTCAGTGGGAAAAATCCTGCTTAACTATGAAGTTTTTAACTCGACATTACACCTATGGTAGCTGCAAAGGGACCAAGGTGGAAACACAATGAATAGTGGTGGAAATGAAAATTACATGACTGATTGCCCAGTCAAACTGCACAATTTCCTGTTGTCAGGCAGAACACCCAATACATTTGTGCAGGTATAACTTTGCATCTTTTGCCCAATGTTGCATAATAAAGTAATGTTTGTTTGGGAAAATATAAGCATGCTACAGAAATACACATCAGAATCTTGAGGCCCTGAATGAAAAAATATGGTTTCCCTTTTACACTTGACTCTCTGCTCATCATAGTTGGCTGCTTACCTCATGATATATTGTCCTCATTGCTGCAGGTGAGAAAACCCCATCATAGGATGGATTGCTGCAGGATAAATAATCATATATCAGCATCTTTGAGACTCACAAATGTATTTCATTGTAACTTTTTGTGGATTACAAATGGGCATGGTATTATTGGGATTTGTAGATTACAGCTTCTAGAAGTATGTAGGAATTCCTTATGCTAAATTTCTGGGGGATTTAGTCAAGAAATGATAACACTGCTGCTTGCCTGTTGTTTCCAAATTCTTAAGCTAATTAATTCAGACTCTGCTGGCTATTTTTGTCCAGTGGAGTAAACAGGGGAAATGTGTAGGTGGAGCTAATCTTTGTGGGAGTTGCAAGGGACTGTGAGTCTGGTAGCCTTTTTAAAACACTTCATGTGCAGAGCTAAATGGGCAGAGACTACTACACCGTAATCCCTTGCAACTCCCACAGAGTTTAGCCCTGCCCACCCATTTCCCCTATCTTCTACACAGGATGAAAATGGCTGCCAGAATCTGAATTCATTACCTTCAGATCTTGAAAACATGTGTCAAAACTTTTTTTTCTTGATTAAAACCCTAAGAAGTCTGGGGGCTTCCTGCAGATTTTGAGAGGCTGTAGTTTACATATTCTGAAAAACCTATATCTAATTACAGATCACTTCTTCAGACAAGTTCAGGAAGTTCTTAGTAGGGAAAACTGTTATCCACTCATTACCCCATAGCCCCCTCTTCCACTTTTCACAAATAGACGTTCTGCATGAAGTAGTATAGGGCACGGAGAGCTACTAGTGATGGGGGCAATGGTGTAAAGGAACCAAACCAAATCAGGATCTATGCTACTGTTTTCAACATCCCAAACACCCTCTAAGTAGGATGTGCACTGCTGTTCTAGAGAGGAGCAACAACCTTCAAACAACCAAGTAACATTTATGGCCAAGATGAAGTCTTTTAAAGCTCCAGCAATGCGTACAGCACTGTACATTTATTTAACTCTCCTACTGAAAAGACTGATTTTTAAAGTTTGACTAAATTGTGTCTGATGTACATTAAATTGAAAATGACAAGGATACTGGGTTTTTTCCCTTTGAGTATATAACAATTTTAGCAACATATGTACACCATTCCAGAAGTATTTTCAGGTGCTATTTGTGCTTATAACATGGTGCATTGCATTCTGTGTTTCTGTACTTTTCAGGTGGAAGTGCACCCACCCAAGGTGAAACAGCTTCTGGCCCTTTGCTGTGACACTTTCTCCCGCCAGCAGCTTTGCAATCTTGAATGCATAATTCTGAACAAGCTTCACTTCAACCTGGCCACCCCTACCATCAACTTTTTCCTAGAACACTTCACTTATTTGCGAATGGAGGCTTGTGAAGCTGATGCCTGGGAGGCCAACAGTGCCAAAGTTTTGGCCAAAGGTCTAGCTGAACTTAGTCTGGCTGACTATGCTTTTAACAAATACATGCCTTCCTTGTTGGCCGTTTGTTGTTTGGGGCTGGCTGATCAGATGCTGCAGCACCAGAAGCCATTAAACTTGCAGTTAAGTGACTATCCAGAGGAAGAATTACAGGATTGCCTGGACAAGCTGCATTTACTGGTTTCTTTGAATGAGGACTCTTTGCCCCTGATACTACCCCCCGAGATTTTGGATCAGTGTCTGCATTTAGAAAAATGAGTTACCTTAACAGAAAGTACTTGAAACCTTGTGTGTAACCATGCATTTGGAAGATTTTCCCCATTTTTTCAATTGCATGTTCAACACCATCACTGATAATTGCAATACCTCTGAAGGAACAGTATTCACATAATTTTACTCAGTAATATTTTCAGCAATTTTACATGTTATTTATATATGTTCTTAGTGGAAGCTGTGATATTGGTTTAAAGTGTAATCAATTTAGAAATAACTTCTCTATGTTTAAAAAACATTTTCAAATTCTATTTTGCACAGTAGACTTGTCTTCTATTGCACTGACATTATTTTAAATAACAATGAAGTTGTAAACAATGTACATATTTATGCTAATACTTATTTATTGAGATGGTGATAGTTCATTGCTAAGCCATAGGAAGTACTGTAAATGCATTTATCTAATAAAGCTTCTATCATTAGTTATCTGTAATGGTGTGTTGTCTTATTTCTCTTTCCTCTTATGAGAAAATTAATTTATAGCAGGTCAACATTTAGAAAAAAAATTTAGTTTGTGTCAGAGTAGGTTCTTCTGTGACTGATTAAACTTTCTGGTTAGTAAATGTCTTTAGGGTTGTGGCCTTATGGCAACCATCCATATCTGAACATCAAAAAGCTACAAAGCATAAGGCACTGATTGTCATTTCCTGCTTTTCCCCTTGCATTACCACTCCCCACCTGTTTTTCTCTAAGTCAAACTTACACATCTTAAAGATACAGTCATGTGAAAAAGAAAGTACAACATCTTAAAGATATAGTCATGTGAAAAAGAAAGTACACCCTCTTTGAATTCTATGACTTTAAGTATCAGGACATAGCAAAAATCATCTGGTCCTTGGTGGGTCTTGGGTCTGAAAAAATACAGCCTCAACAACAACACATGACATATTACACTGTGTCATTTATTTTACAAATCTAAAGCCAAAATGGAGAACCATCTGTGAAAAACTAAGTACACCTTGTATACCCACCTTTAGTAGCAGTAACTTGAAGTACAGGGGAACCTCGACTTACAAATGTCCCTACTTGCGAACGATTTGAGTTACGAATGGCTCTGTTCACAAAAAGTTGCTTCGACTTGTGAACGGAGCCTTGACTTATGAACCAAAAAAGATTTTTAAAAAAGAAAAAAACTTTCCTGCCCCTTTTTTGACCTAAGTTCATCTTAGGTCAAAAAAAGAAAAAAATTTAAAAAATTCACCCCTAGTGGTAAAGTACGGATTAATCGGCTTTGCCTTAGTTCCTATGGGAACTAATGCCTTTACCTACGAACAGCATCTCAACATATGAACCGAAAACAGCAGGTATGGATTAAATGGTTTTCAATGCATTCCTATGGAAAAGTTTGCCTCGACTTACGAACTTTTCTACATACGAACGCCGTTCCAATACGGATTAAGTTCATAAATCGAGGTACCACTTTAATTGTTTTCTGTATGACTTTATAGCTCTCTCTCACACACACATAGTTGTGGAGGAAGTTTGCCTCAGTCTTCTTCATTGAAGTTTGTGGCTATTTGTTTATGCACTACCCCCAATGTAGCCCTTCACTTGGAGGCCAATCTAGTTTCCATAACAGCACAGGTCAAAGTTCTTAGGATTAGCTATTAGTTAATCCTAAGAATATAGAATCTTAAGAATATAAAAATATAAAACTTATATTTTTCTCAGACGGTCTGGCACCATTGACCCTTCCAGTCGGACTGGAAATCTGTTGTAGTCAAAGAAATAGGCTTCTCTCCCAATACCCTTATAGCAATGGGCTATACCAACGCCAAAGTAGCAGTCAAATGTAGGATTTGGGATATAGAACTTCAGGATCATGTGAACCTGTTGGGTACTAACAGTATAGTTACTTACAGTGCTTTCACAATGTCTTTGTTGGGTACTAACAGTATACTGTAGTTACTTACAGTGCTTTCACAATGTCTTCATATCTTTCTAGCCTAATGTCCACAAAGATAATACAAGCTTTTACCTTGGCTAGACTGAATATGCTTCCCTCCAAACCTTCGGATAGGAAATTCCAAAATGTTTTTTCAGAGTGCTTATGTCCCTGGAAAATCAACCAAGTAGAAACCGTGACCCACATCCTTCTATCAAGAACGATGTAAGGAATTTATTCTGTTATTCACAAATTTCCAGGGAGGCCCATTGAATTCTACATGAAGCTACTTCTCTCAGACAAGTCCTTACAGACTACAAATTGTATTGCCAGATTCTGTAATGCTGCTATGCTCACCTGCAGATGTATGATTGCCAGAGGTTCTAGTTCTGCAAGCCATACATAGGGCTCTATTTATAAGTGGGGGCAATTGGAACAGTAAATTTTAGGATGAAGCTACCACCTGCTTGGACCATGAACTGCTTATGCCAAATAATGGAGTAGTGGTGGGCAAGGGAATACTGAACCCACTTATCACCTCGCAGAGGCTTTCACGGCTGGGATCTAATGGTGGTTGTGGGTTTTTTGGGCTCTTTGGCCGTGTTCTGAAGGTTGTTCTTCCTAATGTTTTGCCAGTCTCTGTGGCCGGCATCCTCAGAGGACAGCTCTCTGTGCTCTGGTGCAGTTTGTTTGGGAGTTGAGTATTTATGGCTGTGATATCAGCTTTTGTCCTTTTCAGGAGATGGGTGATTATGGTAGATCAATGTGTTTTTGTTGTGGGTGTATTGTTGTGATAAGGAGGAGAGATTATCTGCACTCCCATTGCCCCAGAATTAAGGCAGGGAGACTGGGGGATGAAGGTAAGTGATGGCAGGCGTTGGACAACCTCTCTCTCCCTGCCTGATGTACACATGGACACACCACCTGCACCCCTCCAATGGAAAGGGTCATATTCCTCCCATGAAAGTCTGGTTCTCTCTAGAAGCAGCTGTTCCTTCACAGACCTGTCCTCAAAAGGCACCCATGCCACTGACAATGAAGTGGCCTCAGAAATTACCTCTGGTTATGTGGTAGGTGGGCAGCATGTGCATATATACAACAGTGGTTGGAGGTTTTGTCTGAGGGCACTTGGAGGGGCCTCCACACTACCTTTTATTTCTTCTTGCTCCTCTGACAGATGCAGCAGTAACAGGAAGAGAAGGTCTGCACTGCTTAAATGCCTGCCTTTCCAGGCTGCTAGCCCAGCTGCTATTTGGAGACGGTGTTCTGGGAATCCGTTTTGTTGTTGTTGTTGTTGTTGTTGTTGTTGTTGTTGTTGTTGTTGTTGTTGTTGTTTAGTCATTTAGTCGGGTCCGACTCTTCGTGACCCCATGGACCAGAGCACGCCAG